ATGGTAGAGGGGACGGAGAGCCTCCCTTGTCCTGCTGGCCACACTCTTCTTGATGCACCCCAGGATCCCATTGGCCTTCTTGGCAGCCAGGGTCAGCTTCGAGGGTCGCTCCTCCAAAGGTTCAATGTTTGGGCTAGAAACATCTCTTCTCTGTCTCCACTTGCATCCCTAGGAGGGATGAGGCCACCCGGGAGGTCCCAGAGGGATTCCTGGATGTAGCTAAAATGAGGGAGGAGGCCACCAGCCTCCAGTCTGCCTGCAGACGACGGGCACCGCAACACCAGGGCTCCTGAGGGTTTCCACTGAGAGATGGACACCAGCAGCTTTGTGGGACCGAGCCCGGCATCAGTGCTCCACGTCTGACGATAAAGCACAACCCCAAAAAGGCACGCCACACCGCCAGCCTGTCTTCTGGGCACGGAGAGGACCCCCACTGCCTGGTGGGCTCTCTTTCCAAAGCAATTTCCCTGCTCAGCACCACCCACAGAGGCCTTTCACTTTTTGGCCGGAGGAAGGGAGCTGCATCCCACTGCTTGCTCTTGCCGTATCGCCTGTCCCCCCAACACCTGCACACGTGTATCCCACAGGATGTTTGGGGTTGGAAGGGCCCTCTGTGGGTCACCCAGTCCAACCCCCTGCCCAAGCAGGGTCACCCAGAGCAGGCTGCACAGCACCGCGTCCAGGCGGGGCTGGAATATCTCCAGAGAAGGAGACTCCACAGCCTCCCTGGGCAGCCTGGGCCAGGGCTCCGTCACCCTCAGAGGGAAGAAGTTCTTCCTCATGGCCTTCAGCCTCTCCTCGTAGGAGAGAAGCTCCAGTCCCCTCCTCATCCTCGTAGCCCTCTGCTGGACTCTCTCCAGTAGCTCCTCATCTTTCTTGAACTGGGGAGCCCAGCACTGGACACAGGACTCCAGATGGGGCCTCACCAGGGCAGAGTAGAGGGGAAGGAGAACCCCCCTCGCCCTGCTGGCCACACTCCTCTTGATGCACCCCCTGATCCCATTAGCTTTCTTGGCAGCCAGGGCACGCTGCTGGCTCATGTTCACCCTGTCGTACAAATCCCTCCACACTCTGCATGATGTTCCCCCTGCCATGTTGTCTGAGCGCCTTGGGAAGGCCATCAGCACCAGGAGCTGGGCACTGAGGAGCTCTGCAGAGCTGTGATCGGGCTGCAGAGGTGCCTCTGGCTTTCTGACATCCCTCAAGCTTCCCACTTGTTTTGCTGAGCAGCTGGATGAAGCCTGTGCTCCGCAGCGTCCGTCCATGTGCTGTGTTCTCCAGCGGCTCTGCAGGTCTCCGTATCGCAGCTTCCCACACTCACGGGGCCGTACAGCAGCCTTTGACCAGAACAGGCTGTGCAAGCCTCCAGGATGTTGCAGGGCTGTTAACGCAGCAGCCCTGATTTTCCCAGCTCCAGCCAGAGCCTTCTCCCAGTAACAAGAGGCAAGTCACCATGGAAACATCCACCTGGAAATGTTCCGCTCGGAGGACGCGTGGTGGTGGTGGGATTCAGCACAATCAAACCATCGGGATCTGTCCCGGGGATTTTCCCATCCAGGATTTTTCCATCCCCGTCACACCACCCTCCGTCCTCACGGCCGTGCTGGTGACCGTACCCCGGCCACGCTGTGCCCAGGGCGAGGAGGCTCCGTGCCCCACACACCATCCCCAGCAGGACGCGTCCGGGGCCCTGAGGAGCCGAGGTTCGAGTGAGGTGGAGCACCTTGAAAACCCGTTATCTGGCCAAGTACTGAAAAGAGGAGGAAGGCGAGGAAGACATTTAAGTAGGGATGAGTGCGGATGTTATTGCCTTCTAGGAGCTGTGTTAAAATGTAAATTATAGTTAATGTCATCTTGCTGGGAAGAAAAGCTCTTGCAATAAATTTCCTATTTTAAGGTATGAGTGAACTGCTGTGAGAGCACAGCAAAAGTCCTTTTTATAGGCTGTAATTAGCAGCCAGGTTCTGGGCTGTTGCCTCCCTTGGCATCTAAAGCGGAAAAAAAGGCGTTTGATAAAAACGACCGCAAACAAAATGTGCGGAGCTGCCCAGATCCCCTCCCCGGCTGAGCCATGAGCCCTTTCCCAGAAGATGCCGCTGCTCAGGGAGGCGTGATACCAGCATGGTTTCAGGAGAGGTTTGTGAACTGTCTACATCCACGCAGAATTCGTGGCAGCCTGGTTCTCCTGGTGATCTGGTGAGTGCTGCAAGCCTTTGGAGGGCTCCCGAGGCTGCCCCTCAGCCCGGTACAGCCGCGTGTGGTTACACGAGTCAAAGGCTTGAGGGGCTTCACAGAATCCCAGCATGGTCGGGGTTGGCAGGGACCTCTGTGGGTCACCCAGTCCAACCCCCTGCCCAAGCAGGGTCACCCACAGCAGGCTGCACAGCACCACGTCCCGGAGGGGACGGAAATATACCAGAGAAGGAGACTCCACAGCCTCCCTGGGCAGCCTGGGCCAGGGCTCCGTCACCCTCAGAAGGAAGATTTCACTTTCAGCTCTCTTCATGAAAATACTCTTCATTACTGGGGTAACAGGGAGCTGAGGTACCCCAGGCAGTGCAAATCCCTGATGCTCGAGAAGAACCACAGGATGCTTAAGGCCATATGGAAAACTTTTCAGCTTCACCGGCCCCACTGCGTTTAGACCTTGCCTTCAAAGCTGTGAGAGATGTTTATGTCTCAATTTTAGATCCTTTCATTTCCCTCATCAAAACGATTCATGGAGTCTCACTGTTCCTGTCTGTGTCCCATTTCTCCTGTGTGGAGCACAGAAGCTGCAAAGGCACGAAGCCACACTAGGTCCCAGCCGAAGATCCCTCCTCTTGCCTTGAAAATGGTTTGGTGATGGTGAAGGGAAACGTGGATTTCTGCTGTCGGCTCGCCTGCTGTGTAGATGCCGCAATTGAACTGCTGCTTCATGCTCTAGTTCTCCAAATGAATGGGTGCTGGGTCCTCGGAGGGGATGGCATGCAGAAGGGCAGGATCGCTGGGGCTGAAGATGTGGGCTGGGACTGAGCCCCGGCAGCTGCTTTGGGTGCGGTTCCTGAGCACCTAGAGCCAGCTGCCCCGGGCTGCCTCCGGTTGGGTTTTGGGTGTCTC